AAGCATACCATCAGCAGTGCCCCTGAACTGTGTGGATACAGCCTTAAATTACTGACCCTCATCTAGTGCATAATCCGCATAACCCCAGTATTTCCATACCATCACCTAGGGTTCTTTTTTGGAAGGGGGGAATTGGTGTTTTGTATATATTTATGATAGCATATCATCATCATTGAGAGGAGGGAGCAAGTTTATTTTCTGCTGGCCTGGAGTTTAGGAAGCAGAACAATGGCTTCAAATTACATGAAAGGAGATTCCACCTGAACATTAGGAAGAATTTCCTAACTGTGAGAGCTGTTCGGCAGTAGAACTCGCTTCCCCAGAGTGTGGTGGAGGGCTCCTTCTTTGGAGACTTTTAAAACAGAGGCTGGGTGGACTTCTGTCCAAGGGTACTTTGAATAAATTTTCTTGCTCCTTGGCAGGGGGTTGGACCGGATGACCCATGAAGTCTCTTCCAACTCTATGATCTCAGGATGACTTCACTTGACTGCTTCTCACAGTAATTAAACACCATGAAAGTGAGATACAATTTTGTGGGACTCTGAAGTACAAGCACTAAAAGTTATTTTTTAAAAATAGCCTTCCAACACTCTCCAGACCTAACTATTGAAGCAGAAATGGAACCACTGAGCAGAAGGATCTCCAGATGCCATCTTGGACAGCCTCTCTGGAAGGATATCATGTTCATGGCATTAAAAGACACTCACGGATCTTGAAAAATGAGGATCACCCTCTCTGCCTCTACCAGAGTATAGGTAAACAAACCCACCCAACAACCGAGGAAACGTCAGTGTCAAAACCGGGCTTAAAACATGATTGGAAATAAACTAGAAAGATAATTTCACCAAACAATGGTTGACGTGTTAACAAATGCCCAAAACTTCAACCACTGCGGGGGGGGGGGGGGGGGTCTTAACTCAAAAATTTAAAACTGACAATTAATTAGGTAGGAATTTACAGAGTTTTTTTCACTAAATGCAACAATGTCCTTTCTTTGCTGSAATTCTTATAGTGTACAGCAACCATTAAAAAAAGCAATCAAGCTAAGGCCACTCCATGGTGATTTCAAGTATCAGAAATGTCCAGGCACAAATGTTACTGATCCTACTGTATTACATGCTATCAACTAAAGATTAACTTCTTTTGAAGGGTAATCCTCACCACTTATATGATTACAGCAAGCGCTTCACCTATTATAAAACGAGTGAGCTTTAAAACTCACTTACACTTTATTGCCAGGTGAAAAGACACTGCAGAGAAAGTTGAAATCATGTCCAGCTGGCTCTCCTCCCTGGTGGGTTATGAACATTTGTGAATTTGATTATTTACATCTTACTTGTGTTTGCCACCTCTACTGCTGTCCTATGCCATTTTTAAGAAGGACTTTGACAATACTGGTGTTGTACTGGAGGAAATCAAACTGGCAGGATGACTTGATCTAGATGGCAGCACATTCCTCTGGTCACTCATGCGGCAGGAGATGGGAAAAGGATAGGACAGGAGACAAAGGATGCAGTTGTTGACTTACGTAGGAGTGAAAAAGAGAAAGGAGGGGAGACGGCACACATGTTTGCTTGGTCAAAGGGGATGGGAAGTCAGGGGCAAGCAAACACATTTGCTCACTTACAATGGCAGGCAGGGGGGAAAGGGAATGGACATGTGTCCCCCTTCTCCCTCCTGCCATTGCCCTATCCTCTCCCCTCCCCTAGTGAGGCAAAGGCAAGCCCTTTCTGAACACATTCTGCCAAGGAAACCCATTAACAGAGTCACCTTAGGGTAGCCATGAGTCAGAATCGACTTTAAAAGCACACAATAACCAGGTCAAGAATGGCTTTTTATTAAAGCCTCTGAGGCCTAATTTACTTTTAAACATGTGCATAGTTCAGTTCCATCAAGCCTTTTAAAGCTGTTTTAACTTACTGAGTTGTTTAATATCTTTTGCCCTGTTTAAATTATTCATTGATTTTAGTCGAGAATTGTTTAAATAGTCCATGTTGTTTGACCTCTTTGCTGCCTTGAGACTGCACAATAAAAGATGCTTTAAATAAATAAATATAATCCCAAACACCCCTGCAATAAATTAATTTGTAATGGTAGTCACCAGTCTAAGACAGAGAATCAGCATGGAGCAACATTTGCAAAGGAAAAATCCAAGGCCTAAATCCAATGATCATCCCCAACTAGCAAAGAGACCAACTAAAGCAAGGATAAACAATGCTGTCCTGGAGAACCACACAAGTTCTCTAAGTAACCTTGGAGGGTGGCAGAACAATTAACTCCAAAATTTCCATGTAGGTGTTTTTGCCAATGTTTGACCCTCTCTAGGACTTTTAGAACTGGAAATAAAACAGCCAGTGACAGTTGATATTCCCTTCCACACCACCAGCAGTGGTTCCCAACCTGTGGTCCGTGGACCACCAGTGGTCCACAAGAACAAAAATATGGTTTGTGGCCTCGCCATTACTACACCATTGCCTTGAAACCACACAGCAACAAGAGCAACTGGTCCCCTTATACCCTCTTATAGTGCTGAGGCAACGGGGATGTCAGGAGGTGAAAGGCTGACTACCCATGAAAGATTACTACTACCACATCAGCTCTAGACTATTAAATATGTTTTTCTGTGGGCGAGCAGATGGAAACTACTGGATGGCATATGTTCTGTATTAGAAACTAGAGCTGATGTGGTCTAGCCAATGCAATTTCCTGAATCAGCACTCCAAATAACTAAACCAAATCTAAAGATGATCAAAAACTTATTTGTAACCCTTTTGGTACTAATCATGGAGAGTGGTCCCTGGTCAAAGGGTCCTTGATCCAAAAAAAAAAAAAAAGATTGGGAACCACTGATCTAGAGGGATTATTTTTGGATTGGGGATGAGGTGGTGGCCACATGCAGCTCACATGCTGTATTTTCTCCAATCCTGCATTTAAAAATGGTTTTATATACCATATTTCACCACACAATGGTCATATTTTTTCCTCTTTTTTCAGAGAAAAAAAGGGTGTGTAACTATTAGTTGCAGTGTGCAAGGCTCCTCCATAACTCAGAGAGGGCAAGCAGCCAATGGCCAAGTTTGGCAAAGCAAGGCTCTGTAGTTCTGGAGGGGATAGGTGGGCGGACAGGGGAACTCACTCCCCTGCCCACCTTCCCCTTTCTTTAAAACTATAGAGCTTGACTTGGCTCCCAGCTGAGTCAAGTCCCACAGTACCAAAAGAGCAATTTCACCCTTAATTCACTTGCCTGGGTGAGTAAACTAAGGGTGCGACCATTACGTGGGGAAACTATTATGTGGTTTAATACGGTAACTGTTGACTTACAAAGCTCCCCTTGAAAAGGTAAAGGTAAAGGTTTACCCTTGACATTAAGTCTAGTTGAGTCCGACTCTGGGGGGTGGTGCTCATCTCCATTTCTAAGCTGAAGAGCTGGCGTTGTCCGTAGACGCCTACTAGGTCATGTGGTTGGCATGACTATATGGAGCGCCATTACCTTCCCGTCGAAGCAGTACCTATTGATCTATTCACATTTGCATATTTTCGAACTGTTAGGTTGGTAGAAGCTGGGGCTAACAACAAGAGCTCCTCCGTCCCACGGATTCGAACTGCCGACTTTCCAGTCAGCAAGCTCAGCAATTCAATGGTTTAAGCCACTGCACCACAGTGGCCTCGCTCTCCTTGATACAAGGGGTTTAGTCCAGTTAGGGTAACAATCCAATTTAGGTCTAAATTCAAACACCATTTTAACCAACCCAACATCTTCTCAGCTGAGGCTGTGTGATAGGAGCCTTGTTAGTCTAAGATAGAGCCGTGACTGGTCTGCGAGCCTTGTTCCTCTTTATTTATTTATTTATTCTAGTTTATTTATTTTATTTCTGCTCCTTTCATGCTGCCTGCCACTCCTTCCCTGTCGCTGACCATGGCATATGTTCTGTATCAGAAACTAGAGCTGATGTGGTCTTTTCAATGCAATTTTCTGAATCAGCACCCCAAACCGAATCTAAACCCTATTGGTATTAATGTTGGAGAGTGGTCCCTGATCAAAGTGGTCCCTGGTCAAGTAGTCTCTGGTCAACTTGTCCCTAGTAAAAAAAAATGGCTGGGAACCACTGGTCTAAGATAACATGGCCTGAACTCCTTGAAAAGGGCTATTATTATACACTTATTGCTAAATCAAAGATCAATATTCTGTAGAAAGGTATTAGCAAGCACTGCTAGAGGCAATGGTAATACAGTATTTTGTGTATAATACCTACTCCTTTTTAAAAATTATATTGCTGCTGTTTTGAAATTTTGTTATTTACTTCCATTGTTGTTAGTAATATTCAGTGATATGTAAATATCAGAGAGTCAAGATAGATTTTTCAATACATAAAAACTAGTAATTCAAAGCAAAACATCGAACAATAAAAATTCAGGCCTTGCAGAAAGATGGAGCTGATACTCGATTCTTCCATTTATAAAGGCACTCTTCATACTTAACTTTCAAGGAACCTTCAGAACTCTAGGCAAACTATAATCCATTATGAACTTTTCAAAAAGCTTGCTTGATTCAGAATTTTGTGGAAGTTTCTCTCTCAATTTGAAAAATTTCTAATGAGATCTAAATTCAGTCAATAACATTGTTGTATGCAAGGCCATATGGGTGGGTTCTATTCAAATAAAAATGCTTCTTATCACATTAAATTGGTTAAAATGAATCTGAGCTCTTTTGGGGAAGATAATAAGTTCAAGAAAGCATTATGGAATAACAATAGGGGTGGAGGAGCAGTCTGCTGGAAAGGAAGGGTTTCTTATTTAAAATTGTACATGCTGTTAAACACAGTCACATTTCAATCTTTCTCAAGAAACTTTTTACAATCCTATGAAAAGGAACAGCAAGACATTGGAACACCCCTTTTTCAAAACCGAAAGTAAAAATGAGTTTAAAAAACACCGAGTGGGTGTTTTTCAAGCCATACAGAGCAGGGACATTTATAGGAAGCAGAGGGAAATCATCTTACCAAGTGCAGTTTGATTGCTCTCATTGGAAGGACTGGCTTCCTGAGAAGCCATCTTGGCTGTATAAGCTTCAACCCACCATGGCTTATACTTCAAGAGATGGCAAACAGCTTCATCTTCAAAAAGGTCAGCACTGAAAAGACAGAAAGATTGAAGCGCTACATCATTTGATATTAAGCATTCATTTCATGTCACCAAAGTAATTAAATCTAGCAGGTTGTCTTAAGTTTGCTGTAAGGTGGGAACAATCTGAAGGAAACCATCAACAATAACTTACAGGTAATGGTCAGGATCAAACTTGGCTGCTTCTACTGCCAACCGTTTTTCTCTACGTTCAACTGCAGGTGTTGAATCTGGATTTTTAATATCAATAACATCGCTAAGTTCATCCTGTAAAAAACAACAAAGAATCAGTATAAAATCTGCAAAACAGAATAAATTCCATTTTATTGCATTGCTTTGAGTTTTCCAGGCTGTGTGGCCATGTTCCAAAAGCATTCTCTATGGACATTTCGCCCACATCTATGGCAAGCATCCGCAGAGGTTGAGGGGTCTGTTGGAAACTAGGCAAGTGAAGTTTATATATCTGTGGAATGTCCAGGGTGAGAAAAAAAAAACTCTTGTCTGTTTGAGGCAAAGAAGCCATCAAAATCCACAAGCATGTGGACGATTTCAACAGAAAGGAGGAAACCATGAGGATGAAGAAAATCTGGCTACCAGTATTTTAAAAACTCTAAAATCAAGACAGTAAATCAAGAGCAACACCCAAAAAGCAGAGGAAATCCAGACAAGAATCAATCAGGGCCAGCTAACACCTCCCAACAAACGATTCCCTCAGGCAGCAACCAGTCAGGCATTGAAGCTGCAAGGCCATTAAATGCTAATCAAGGTGACCATTTGCAATATTCACACTTGCCTCAAACAGACGGAAGAGCCTGGACATTCCAAATATATATAACCCACTGTTGCTCATTTGACAGCCTGAATTTATTTTAGGGAAACAAATCATGATTTGTTGGGAGCTCACACCTCCCAACAAAGGATTCCCCCCGGCAAGAATCAGCCATGCCTTGAAGCTGCAAGGCTTTGCAATGTGAATCAAGGTGATTAATTACAACATTCACACTTGTCTCCAACAGAAAAGAGTTATTTCTCCCATTTTGGAGCTTCCACAGATATATAAACCTCCCTTGCTTAGTTTCCAATACACCTCACAACCTCTGAGGACGCCTGCCACATATGTGGGCAAAATGTCAGGAGAGAATGCTTCTGGAACATGCCCAGAAAACTCACAGCAACTCACTACTCATGATTTATTTTGAGCTGTCATTATATCCTAGTTTATTCTCTGACATTCAGGAAAGCCATCACACCTCTATCCACTGTTATTGCCACTGATAAGATTTGCTATCGCCACTGTTAAAATCTTCTGTCAATGTCTTTCTCCCACCATGCTCTTACTTCAGAGGCAAGACTCCTTAGAGAGCTCTTCATATTCTCCTCTGAAGAACTGATCTACAAACCTAGTCAAATCCTCTTCACACAAAACTCTGCACTATTTATGATTAAGCAGAAAAGCACAAACTCCAGCATAAATCATGATGGAATCCCACTGCTTCCGTAATGGGAAAAGCTACATGGTTTATTTAACACTATCCTTTTGCTTACTATTTTGCATCCTTCACATGTTTCTGCCTCTTTTTTGTTTATAGAGAGAAATGCATTTTTAAAGAGAAAGTTCACAGTATCCTAGACAACCAATATGTTTATGAACTTTACAGTGAACAATTATTCTTCCTGCAAGCTTCCCTCCCTGTTTGTCTTTAAAGATATATTAGCTGAAACCAGAGTCTGCAGCTACATGCAATGCAAAGCATGAAAGTGGGAATGATTAAGTTGAAACAAAATATGCACACATGAAAGTCGTCCCACAAAACCTCAGTTGACTTTTACATGGGTGTTACAGGCGCCCCGTGGGTTACAAACAAGTTAGGTTCTGGAGGTTTGTTCTTAAGTTGAATTTGCATGGAAGTTGAAACAGGTACAATTTTAAGTGTAGCTCCAGCCAAATATCTTTTAGCTTTAGATAGCTTAGGGAAGTGTTAACACCCTTGTGGTGTTTGCTTCGCTCTCTGTGCCCTTGTTTAGAAGATTTCACCTCAATTTCTGTCCCTGTAATCATTGGATTTTGATTTTTTTTAAAAAAAAATCCGGCTTGTTGTGGAAACAAGGATGGGTGAGAAAGCTTCAGTAGAGACACCTTTTCCCCATAACTCTTTCAGGAGTGAATTTTCATTTCTACGGGTAGATCTCCTCTCACTTCCTGTTGTCTCACCCATTTGTAACTAGAAGTCACATGTAAGTTGAATGTCCATAACTTGGGGATTACCTGTACAGTGTTCCCTCACTTATCGCAGGTGTTAGGTTCCAGGAACACCCGCAGAAAGTGAAAATCCGCAAAGTCGGGACGCTCCGCCACTCTTTTCTTCCCCTCTCCCTCACTCACTCACTGCTGGCCATTGAGGAGGAGGCGACAACAGCGGCAGGAGGAGAAGGCCCCGCACAGGTCTCAGCGCTGAGCGTGGAAGACCAGGCCTCGGCCCAGCCTGGAAATGGTGTCAACGATGGCCAAGGGTCCTCCGAGGAAGAGGAGGAGGAGAAGGGGAGGGGGAGCCAGGCGCTGGGCCTTACCCTGGGGCTTGTGTACTAATTAGTACCCTGTGTACTAATTTTATTGTACCCTGGTGGCGCAGCGAGTTAAACCGCTGAGCTGCAGAACTTGCTGACTGAAAGGTAGGCGGTTTGAATCCAGGAAGCGGGGTGAACTCCCACAGTTAGCCTCAGCTTCTGCCAACCTAGCAGTTTGAAATCACGCAAATGTGAGTACATCAATAGGTACCACCTTTGTGGGAAGGTAATGGCGCTCCATGCAGTCATGCTGGCCACATGACCTTGGAGGTGTCTATGGACAACACCGGCTCTTCGGCTTAGAAATGGAGATGAGCACCACCACCCAAAGTTGGACATAACTAAACTTAATGTCAGGGGAAACCTTTACCTAATCTTATTGTGTATATAATAATAATAATAATAATAATAATAATAATAATAATAATAATAATAATAATAATACAGCAGATATATCAAAGATTTTAAAATATCCTTACATACCTGAAGACGTTTGAAAACTCCTGATTTCTGATTTCCAAAGCCATAGGTACAAGGAGAACACAGGGAGCTCTCTTTGCTCTCCTCATACAGAGTCTGCTCTATTTCCCAATCAAATTCTTCCTCTTCTTCTACGTCCTCAACATTTTCAGCACCTGAATCAAAGACTGGCATTAAAAAAAACAACTAGTCTTCCTACTAGAAAATTCTTTCTAAATTCCTTGTCCACATTTAAGAGAACAATTCATGCAGGAAATCAAATTAGCTTTCAATAAGAACTATGTGTAGATATCTAACAGCACATCGGAGGAACTAGAAGTCATGCTGTTCTACAGTTTCTGATTCATCTAATATCGACACACATTAGAAGTCCTTTTGAAAACAGTTAGCCCATATCCAGAATCTGCATCCACTAATTCAATTATCCATGGCTTGAAAATATATATTTCCAAGGAACCAAACCCCAGCAGATAGCAAGGGCCTACTGTGCAGGTGTATGAAAGAAGTGTATGAATGAACAAACATTCCACTTTATTAAAAAAAATCTTAAGATTCTATAAAAGATATGGTTGTATAGAAAAACCAAGAGAGAAACAAACTCTGCATTGAATAATACTCGACAAAAGTCAGCATTATTACATAGCCAATGCAGAATCATAGAAACGCTGAGTTGGAAGGAACCACAAGGGCAATCTAGTCCAATCTCCTGCAATGCTGGAATAAACAACTAAAGCACTTCTGAGAGTTAGCTATTCAACCTCTATTTAAAGACCTCCAATGAAATACTGTTCAAAAAAGTCTTCATAATGATTAGGTGTAATCTTTTTTTCATATTCAAATGTTGCAGTCAATTGAATATGAGAAAATAAACATCTCCTTTATGACATCCCTTCAGATAATTAAAAATGTGTTTTTCCAAGCTAAACTTCAGTTTTTGTTCATAAGGCTTGATTTCTAGACTTTTGATCATCTCAGTTGCCCTTCTCTGGACCTGTTCCAGCTTGTCAATATAATTCTAAAACTTTGATATTCAATGTCCAAGGTGAGGTCTGACCAAAGAAGAAATGAGTGACATAATACTTCTGTTGACATCCCCTAAAATCATGTCTTTTTTGTCCACTGCACCAGATTGTTTATTCCTATTTATTCATTTATTTTATACTCCACCTTTCTCTCAGGATGAAGAAAGCCTGTGATCTACTAAGAATCCTAATCCTTTTCACATGTGCTGCTTTCGTGACAGTAGTCACTCATCCTATATTGGTGCATATCAATTCTACTGGTCGAAATTTAGAACCATAAACGTATCCCTGTTGAAATGCATGCTTTATGAAACTACAAAAACTGTTTTTTATTTAAAAGTGTACAAACCCATTTCCTCTACTAAAGGTTTTGCTGAACGGGATTTCTTCGGTGCAAGTAGAGCCGTCAACATGTCTAACCCATCAAACTTCTCTCCAGGAGTCTCCTTGGGAAGCCGTATTGTAAATATCCCTTGGGGGGAAAAGGAGTTATTTTTTAGCAAAGGTATTTCATGATCTAAGGACAAGCCATTTTCATATTCCAGTAAGTTGACAATGTTTCAAAAAGTAAGCACAGGCCACACTGTGTTAACAGTCCATGGGCAGGCATGCAAGCCATACTTCCCCAAGCATTAATGCTTTCACATAGAAATCAGAAAATCAAAACAGAAGGAATGCAAGCTTCTGCGTAACTGCTGTAATGTGCAAAAGAAGAATTCATGTATCCCTCAAGTGGAAAGATGCAGAAGTCATTTCCACACACAGAGTTCATATATCTCATGAAGTTTCCCCCCCTAAATATAACAGGAGCTTACATTATGTATGCTTTTCTCTCTGCATTTCCCATATTGAGAGAAATCACCCTAACTTAAATACATCTTCCAAATAACTTGCTGGATCAATCTTCCACAAATATGCAATTTGGAGGGGAAATGGGGGAGATTAGGAGGGATGTAATACAGCAGCATTCTTCTTAAATTCCTAATCTGTCAGACAACACGTTCCAATAGATAACACTGTGTTTTAAGCTAGCTGAGTGAAACATGGGAACTATCCTGTTCCTCTGCCAAGCGAGCATAAAGCATTTTAAGTATGTTTCACATATCAGTGAAGAGAGATGTTTCAAAGCAAACTATATCCAATATGACGTATATCAAGCCATATTTAATGGGAGCTGAAGCAAATTTATACAGCCGCAGTATGACACATCAGAATGGGGTGAACAGCACTGCAAAATACAGTTTTAAAAGCACATAAAACCTGAGTCATCGTATGTTGCTTTCTCCCTTCCATCTTCGAGAATCCTTCCAGGAAGAACCAATCTGCACAAAAAGATTAAGAGTTATTTTATTGTCATGTATCTGGTAAAAACAGGAAGACAAAGAGCAACTAGAGTTATGACTATCATACTTTTGAGAAACCAAATTGCACATACAACACAATGGGAAAGGTTCCAAATTGCCAAGTTGTGCAACTCGAGACATGGCAAACAGAGTAGGAGTTAAAACCAAAATGGGCAGAGAATATGACATGAGATCACCCAGAGGTAGTCTGCACAGCTGACTCAGGAACACCACAACCCGAAGAACCATCAACTATAAATTCCTAACCAGCTTTTCATCTAATTTACTAGCACTATCTATCCATAAAGCTTGCTAAGCATGAGTACCAACAAAACCTGCGGTAATAATGAAAGCAGCATACCAAAGGACACCCAATTATATTGTAGATACCAGTATGCTGCTAGTTCTATTACAACTTGTATAGTAGAACTGAGCAAAAGCTATATTTTGTAATGAGCATCCACAGAAATTCCTAGCTGCCAACAGTAAGAAACCACTTGGTAAAGTCAAACAAAATGAAGTACAACAGTGACTGTTGGGCTCACATGTTCTTCTTTAAGTCTTCATGCATAAGAAGAAGAAATCTGCAATTTCTGTTTATGGCTGACAATATATTACAGCTTCTGACTTGTTTTCAAATATAAGACATTATTGTTCGTATAATCCACACATGGAAAACTCAATGCCGCAGGTCGAATCTGGCCTGCCATGTCTTTTCCAAATGCTGTACTGCTACTTCTGTATTCCTCATCATAAAACTGGTTTGAATCCGTGGAGGGCGTGAGCTCCCATCTGTCAGCTCCAGCTTCGCATGCGGGAATATGAGAGAAGCCTCCCACAGGATGGTACAACATCCGGGCATCCCCCTGGACAAACTCCTTGCAGATGGCCAATTCTCTCACAGCAGAAGCGACTTGCTGTTTCTCAAGTCGCTCCTGACACACACACAAAATCATTAGACCTCATGACTAAAGCTAATGGGAGTTGTGATACAATAACATCTGGAAGGTTTTGGTTTGTTTTATTTAGTCAAGATAGTTGAGTTTGAATTTACCTGCAAGGTTTGTGGATAGGATATCTGACTTTAAAATGTCCTTTAACCTTTAATGGGAGCTGTTGTTCAATAACATCTGGAGACCCAAACTGAGGGAAAACTACGGATTTTCTGCCATAGCTCTACATGAAATAACTCATTCCTAGAAATGCTTATTAATGTACCAGACAAGACATTAAAAACTGAATTCAACCAAATGATATCACATACCTGAGAAAGTAAGGTTTTGCATAAAATTTGAACTCTGTTCCTTCAAAATAGACATCAAACTCTGAAACCCGTGCATATGGTACTCTGATCATTATGGTAAGAAAATCAGGATCTTGACTCAGCTCAAATGCTGGAGTTATCATGTTGAATACTCTTGGAAAATCAGCAACACCTCTTGAAAAACTGTCATAGAAATAAAAGATCATCTCAGAACATGTAAATGAGTATCAGTGGCACTGAACATCTGAATGTGATAACAGCGTTTGTCTAAGAGTAAAGCCTAAGATGATTAACTGGTGCCTCAGTTTGATAAGAAAATTTAATTTGGAGGATTGAGATTAAAACCAGGATTTTTTAATTATTTCAAAGGTCAATTTGTTTCTGGAGCATTATTATCTTGGTATATTAATAAGGTATCCTGTTATTCCACCTTTATTCTGCCATGGTATTCAAGGGAAGTAAAAAGAAGGACACCACATTAAGGTATGATAAGTAACACTATGTGACACTTTGTTCCTGGGTTATAAATGTCATTTCCTAATTGGGTCTATCATAAAAACATGAAAAAAATCTATTTAATTACAAAAACTTTGTTTTTGCAGGACATCCTACAGCACATTTTGCTATCGTTTTTCAATGAATATCTAATAAAGTCTCAATCAATTCAACATAGTTTGTAGCAGCCACAAAAATGAAGTTTTTGGAATATAACTACTACTTTCAAAGTAAGTGCCGCAGAATTAAACAGGAAATAACACTTTCAAACCAGGAATAGATATTTTTTGTTACATAGTGTTATATTCAGCAAAGAAAGTTGTACCCCATGGTCTCAAGATCATGTCTCATGGCACAACAATGATTGAAAGATGTGTTGATCATTTGTAACAATTATTATTATTTCGTATACTTCTACCCTGCCCTTCTCAACCCCCGAGGGGGGATTCAGGGCGGCTTACAAAAAGGCACAATTTAATGCCTGCACAGTAATACAGATAAAATATAGACAGCGATTAAAACAGTTTCGACAGTTAAAACAATCAATATACATCACAATCAATAAAAAACCAATCTTATGCTCAACGTTCGCAACTCAGAGTCCATAACTTCATTCCACAATTTCCCATTCCTATCAGTCGTCGTTGTCCTTTATTTATCTATCTGCCAAATTGCCCGAACGCCTGGTCCCAAATCCATGTCTTCAATTTCCTTCTAAAGGAAAGAAGGGATGCCGATGATCTAATTTCCCTGGGGAATGAATTCCATAGGTGAGGGGCCACCACTGAGAAGGCCCTGCTCCTCGTCCCTGCCAATCTCACTTGTGATAGAGGCGGGGCCGAGAGCAGGGTCTCCCCGGAGGACCTTAAACTCCAAGGTGGGACATAGAGGGAGATGCGTTCAGACAGATACGCTGGGCCGGAACCGTATAGGGTTTTGTAGGTCAAAACCAGCACTTTGAATTGTGCTTGGAACTGGGTCGGCAGCCAGTGGAGCTGACACAACAGGGGGGTGGTATGCTCCCTGTATAACTCTCTGGCTGCCTCCCACTGGACTAATTAAAGTTTCCGAACAGTCTTCAAAGGCAGCCCCACGTAGAGTGCGTTGCAGTAATCTATCCGGGATGTAACAAGAGCGTGGTACGGGCGCAGCTGGCGCACAAGTTTTAATTGTGCAAAAGCTCTCCCGGCCACCGCCGAGACCTGGAATTCCAGGCTCAGCGATGAGTCCAGGATCACTCCCAAGCTGCGAACCTGCGTCATCAGGGGGAGTGTAACCCCATCTAACATAGGCTGTAACCCTATGCCCTGTTCGGCCTTACGACTGACCAGTAGGACCTCTGTATTGTCTGGATTCAATTTCAATTTGTTAACTCTCATCCAGTCCGACACAGCAGCCAAGCACCGGTTCAAGGTCTGGACAGCCTCCTTGGTGACAGGTGAGAAGGAGTGACAGATTTGGAGTGACAATGAACCATACGGTAGGCCCTCTACTTTTGCAGGGGTTAGGGGAACAAGAAATCTGAATATTTCTTTAAAAATGGTGTAACCTAAGAAACAACATATTCATCAAATCCACAAAAAGATGAATAAATAACAACTTTATTCTTATACCCTGCCACCATCTACCCGAAGGGATTCGGAGCAGCTTATATATGGGGCAAAGTGTCCACAAGACATAAAAGCAAAAGCAAACCATTAAAACAAAAACACAATTAAAATAAAAGCATCATAAAATACAACAAGCCAGATAAAAACACACTAAACAGAAAAGTATAGAAAACAGATTACCGTACATTGAAGCTCTGGACAATTTATTTATTTATTTATTTATTTACTGCATTTGTTAACCGCCGTTCTCAGCCCTAGGGCGACTCACGGCGGTGTACAACATATAAAAACACAATTTACAATAAAGCAATAGCACAACAACATATCAGCATAACTATCAATAATACAGCAATCATATAATTACACTAAATCATCCGCGCCGTCTCATCGTAGAATCATAAACCAATCTCGTAATCCATATTCCGTTCCAGTCGTCATTGCCAATTGTTGAAGCACTTAGTTAAACGCCTTCTCAAATAACCATGTCTTTAGGCTCTTGCGGAATGACATAAGGGAGGGCGCCTGTCTGATGTCTACAGGGAGGGTGTTCCACAGCCGGGGGGCCACCACCGAGAAGGCCCTATCTCTCGTCCCCGCCAGACGTGCCTGTGAGGCAGGCGGGATCGAGAGAAGGGCCTCCCCGGACGATCTCAAGGTCCTCGTGGGCTCATAGGCCGAGATGCGGTCAGAAAGGTATTTTGGGCCGGAATATTTTGATCAACACCAATCAAGATCAACATCTGGCCAGGAAACTGAGATGGATCCAGGATGGACAAGGTTCAACAAAAACAATGGCCAGGATTACTAAGAACCCACAAATGTGGAGAGCTGACTATAGTCTAGTTTTATGTAATAAGAAATTCAATGTGCAGATTTGACAAATGTGGATTTAAAATGATGTGTGGGAATGAATGGAAGATTGGAAGGTGTATGGATGGAGTTAATAATTTTGGAGACACCAGTATAACATTAAGGCCTGCAATGACTGACTACCTGATTGCTGGACTGTAATTAAAAGTTGCTAATGACAGCTGAAAAAGTAAACTCTGATAAGACAGGGAGAGTGATAATAGAAATGTTCACAATGTTAAGAAGGAAGTCAACATAAGATCAACACCAATCAAGATCAACATCTGGCCAGGAAACTGAGATGGATCCAGGATGGAAGACTTCTATCATTAATTTACAACTTGCCATAGATGCAGGTGAAACGTCAGAAGAGAATGCCTCTAGAACATGGCCATATAGCCCAAAAAAACCTACAACAACCCAGTCTTGGACAACGTTTTTAACTAAGAGACACTTATGATTTATGTTTAACTGATCTTATTGTGATTTTGTGTTTTATGCGAATGTTTTTATGGCTGGAATCACTCAGTTCTTGTGGGTTTTTTCGGGCTATATGGCCATGTTCTAGAGGCATTTCTCCTGACGTTTCGCCTGCATCTATGGCAAGCATCCTCAGAGGTGAGGTCTGCTGGAACTGGGAAAAAGGGGTTTATATATCTGTGGAATGACCAGGGTGAGACAAAGGGCTTTTGTAAGCTGAGCTAGGTGTGAATCTTTCAACTGACCACCTTGATTAGCATACAATGTTTTTAAATGTTTTATACTGTAGTTGGCATTGACTTGCTGCCTTTGTTAACTGCGCTGAGTTGCCTGTGGGCTGAGAGGGGTGGTATACAAATATATTATAAAATAAATAATAAATAAACATGCTTCTGAGGATAAAAGTTTAGGAAACTTCTCCTGGCCTACAGCTATAGCTTTACCTCCCAATTAGTCCCAGTTTTACAAGTCAGTTCTAAATGGCCATCAGCATTCAAATGCTTAAGGCAGTTGAAATTATATTAAATTATATTAAATTATATTATAGGATGCATCTATACCAGACTTGGGCAAACTTGGGCCCTCCAGATGTTTTGTTAGGAATTGTGGGAGCTGAAGTCCAAAACACCTGGAGGGCCCAAATTTGCCCCTGCCTCATTTATACTATAGATTGAATATGGCTTAACACTGCTTTGATAGCTTGAATCTGCAGACACCAAACCCATGCATATAGAGAGCTGACTGTAATGTGAAGAGGCTCAAGAATCAATGCAGTTTGACATGATTTTAACTGCTATAGAGTCATGGGAGTGGGAGTTTAACCAGGTCTATTGCTGTTGTTGTTGCTGTGTTTATTTATACCCCGCTTCCTCTCTCTACAAGACAGACTCGAAGTGGCTTACAGCAAAACCACGTGCAATACAATTTCAAACCTCTATCTATACATACAAACATTACAAACCGAATTATCTGAAGCTAAAATGTAGACACCGCTGGAAACGTCTTCAGAGATAGAAAAGCAATACCCATAAGCTACAAAACACCCAAACACAACCCTCCTGCTTACCCACCACTGGGGCAACTCAGGCAGCAAGTCCACGCGCTGCTTCACGCGCTTAGGGCTCCGTGACTCCGCCCCTCAGCTGCAGGTCCGGCCCTCCCCGGAGACTCGCGCAATCCTATTGGCTGCGACTGCTGACAATTAGAATGTTCTCCTCCTGTGTTTAACAGGGAACCAAGATCATTGGCGGATCTCATCCAATCATGAGTCAGGCAGTGGGACAGAAGAGGTTGGCGGAAAAAGGGAGAAGGTGAGCGATCCCACTGAAGGGAGAGGGAGGGAGAATGAGGAACTACGTCATTGTGTTTCTGCGCATGCGCGTTCGCTCCATTCGCCTGGATAAGAGAGATTCAGTCTGCATCTAACGCTGGGTAATGAGTGCAGCCTGGCTCCACTTTAACTGCTTGGCTCAATACTATGTTATACTATAACACACACACATATATACATATATAATATTTAAAATGTTATAATGTAATGCAATATAATAATAATAAATTATAATTATATATTTATATTATATGTAATATTACTAATAATATTACAATATAATGCTACAGTACAATATAGTAATATATAATACTGATATTGTACTATGCTAATAATACGATATATTGTATGTATATTCTAGCTGTCCCCTGCCACATGTTGCTGTGGCCCGCATGGAGGTTCTGTGTGGAAGAAGCTCGGCCTGTCACTGAACATTGAGAAAACCAAGGTGCTGTTCCAGCAGTCACCAGCCAATCCCTCTCCAATGCCAGTAATACAGCTTAATGGTGTAACATTAGAAAATGTGGACCATTTCCGCTACCTTGGCAGCCACCTCTCCACCAAAGTCAACATCGACGCCGAAATACAACACCGCCTGAGCTCTGCAAGTGCAGCATTTTCCAGAATGAAGCAGAGAGTGTTACGGACATCCGTAGGGAGACCAAGGTGCTTGTCTATAAAGCTATTGTCCTCCCAACCCTGCTATATGCCTGTGAGACATGGACTGTCTACAGACGTCACATGCAGCTCCTGGAACGTTTCCATCAGCGCTACCTCCGGAAAATCCTCCAAATCTCCTGGGAAGACAAGCGGACAAACGTCAGTGTGCTGGAAGAAGCAAAGACCACCAGCATTGAAGCGATGGTTCTCCAACATCAACTCCGCTGGGCCGACCACGTTGTCCGGATGCCTGACCACCGTCTCCCAAAGCAGTTGCTCTACTCCGAACTTAAGAACGGAAAACGGAATGTTGGTGGACAGGAAAAGAGATTTAAAGATGGGCTCAAAGCCAACCTTAAAAACTCTGGCATAGACACTGAGAACTGGGAAGCCCTGGCCCTTGAGCGCTCCAGCTGGAGGTTAGCTGTGACCAGCAGTGCTGCAGAATTTGAAGAGGCACGAATGGAGGGTGAAAGAGAGAAACGTGCCAAGAGGAAGGCACGTCAAGCCAACCCCGACCGGACCGCCTTCCACCTGGAAACCAATGCCCTCACTGCGGAAGAAGATGCAGATCAAGAATAGGGCTCCACAGCCCCCTACAGACTCACAAGAATTCTGATTATGGATGACTATCTTACTCCTCCAACGAGGGATCGCCTAAGTATTAAGTGTGGAGGTTTGGCCCAATTCTATCGTTGGTGGGGTTCAGAATGCTGATTGTAGGTGAACTATAAATCCCAGCAACTACAACTCCCAAATGTCAAGATTCTATTTTCCCCAAACTCCACCAGTGTTCACATTTGGGCATATTGAATATTCGTGTAAAGTTTGGTGCAGATCCATCATTGCATTCTGAACCCCAGCAATGGTAGAATTGGGCCAAACTTCCCACACAGAACCCCCATGCCTTGAAGGGACTCACTAGTATGAGCCTCACTCCAGCCTCGCACGCTCCTCCTTGCCCGCACATGTGTACCACACTGCTATGCACCAGGTACGCCTGCTCTCCCCTCCCCACTTGGCTGAGAGGCCGGACAATCACAGCGGAGGAGGGTTTTTGGTGGAAGGATTTGCATCTGTTTCCAAAAAGGAAGGGAAGGACGGATGGAGAGATCTTCAGCCTTCTTTGCCAAAGGGGTTCCTAAGACTATTAGAAATATATGTTTTCTGATGGCCTTTGGTGACCCCTCTGAAACCCCCTTGTGACCCCCCCCCCCGTGTCCCGACCCCCAGGTTGAGAAACACTGCTTTACAAGGTTTATAGCCATCTCTTTAAATCGTCCAAATATGCCTCACTAAACTACAACTTCCATGATTCCATAGTATTGAGCCAAGCAGTTAAAGTGGTGTCAAACTGCATCAGATCTACAGTGTAGATGCACCCATAGCCAAGGGGAATTTGGGGACACCCTGCAAGTCTCTTCACCTGTTCTTACAATTAATCCTCAAAGTGTGTTCATGTGTTCCTTCCTTTTTTATAAATACTATGAATGATTACCACTCATTCAAAATTTCTGTATAGATTATCTGTTTTATCATTGTAGAAGAAAGCTCCTTTCTACTCTAGTATTAAAATAATACTAGACCAGGCCAGGAGGTGCTGAGTAGTGTATTATGTGTTTTAATAGGTTTTTAATTATTTTAATGGCTTTCACTATTTTTAATAGTGCTATGTTTAATTCAGTTTTAGTGGTTATATGTCTTCAGTTTTAAATTACACAGTGTCTCGTTTTTAGTATTGCAAGCTAGTTGCAATCTGCAGCAGCCAGGCAATAAACTCCCACGAAATGCGCATCAGTGCCATATGGCTTATGTAATCACAATTCAGGCTCCAAACTGGTTCCAATATTTCCTGTGTAATCATCTGCACAGTGAAACCACTTTCTTCAATACCGGTTTGAAACTACATTGAATGGTCAGCATAGAGAAGGCCTAGGTCCCTGAACCTTTGAATTATCCTCCTCACCGGATCACTGTGAGTTTTCCAGGCTGTATGGCCATGTTCCAGAAGTATTCTCTCCTGACGTTTTCTCTCTTCAGAGATTGTGAGGTCTGTTGGAAACTAGGCAAGTGGGGTTTATATATCTGTGGACTGTCCAGGGTGGGAGAAAAACGCTTGTCTGTTTGAGGCAAGTGTGAATGTTGTAGCTGGCCACCTTGATTAACATTTAATGGCCTTGCAGTTTCAAGATCTGGCTGGTTGCAGCCTAGGGGATCCTTTGTTGGGAGGTGATTAGCTGGCCCTGATTATTTCTTGTCTTCAATTCCCTTATTTTTGAGCATTGTTCTTTATTTACTGTCCTGATTTTAGAGAGTTTTTAAAAATACTGGTAGCCAGATTTTCATTACTTCTTCCTTTTTGTTGAAATTGTCCACATGCTTGTGGATTTCAATGGCTTCTCTGTGTCATCTGACATGGTGGTTGTGAGAGTGGTCCAGCATTTCTGTGTTCTCAAATAATATGCTGTGTCCAGATTGGTTCATCAGGTGCTCTGCTGTGGCTGACTTCTCTGGTAGAATTAGTCTGCAGTGCCTTTCATGTTCCTTGATTCATGTTTGGGCAATGCTCCTCTTTTCCCCTTCCTGCTCTAATTCTGTCTCCTCCTCTCCTTCTCTCTCCTCCTCTTCTCCTTCTCCTTCCTCTGTCTCTCCTCCTCCTTCTCTTTCTCCTCTTCTCCTTCTCCTCTTCTCCTCTGTCTTATCCTCTTCTCCCAGAGGCGGCCCTAGGTAATATTCAACGGTAAGCAAACAGTATTTCCCCCCCCCCCCAAAAAAAATCACTGATATATATTTTCTGTTCATCGTGGGAGTTCTGTATGCCATATTTGGTTCAATTCCATCATTGGTGGAGTTCAGAATGCTCTTTGATTGTAGGTGAACTATACATCCAAATAACTACAACTTGCATATGTCAAGGTCTATTTTCCCCCAAGAGCGCCTCAAGAGCACCCCTGAGCAAAATCAACTATACTGCAAATGTTTACTTTGCGTAATGGGTTGAGCCGCCCGTCTTCTCCTTTTCTGTCACTTCTTCTTCTCCTTCTGTCTCCTCCTGTTCTCCTTCTCTGTCTCCTCCTCTTCTCCTCCACTTCTTTCTCCGTCTCCTCCTCTTCTTCTATTCTTCTCAGTTTTCTCCTCTTCTCCACCTCTCCATCTCCTCTACCTTCTCTTCACCTCTTCTCCTTTGTCTCCGCTTCCGTTTCCTCCTCCTCCTTCTCTTTCTCCTTCTCTATCTCCTCCTTCTGTTAGAAAGAAATCAGACCCCCTCCTAAAATATAGACTCAACGCAAGCTCAGTATAATTAAAACATGAACTTTTATTTTTATTTTATATTTTTATACAATTTCACAATACCAGGAAGGTGACACCTCTCCATCCCACCCTTTGCCCTATCTTCATTGGCCCTGCTAAAGAAGGCTGATTGACTGCACATCCCAGAAGCACTAACATACCCCTTGTGGATGGGGCAGATTGTCTCAGGGAAGGCTTCACAGGAAATACCTGCATGCTTCCCAAACCTCAGAGTGGTATTTTCCCTATATTTGTAAAAAGACATTTAAAGGGGCTTTTCCTCCACTCCTGAGTCTGCCTATGTACTCTTTTGAAATTCATTCATAAACCCTATACAATTTCATTCCTTTTTCTGGCATGGTCATTTGTTCGTTGATAAAAGTGTAACTGTTTGCATGGATGCTGTGTATAGAGATATATCCTCATATGGTTCAGATCATTTAGTCCCGGAAAACCTGTTGAATAATTGGACATGCCTGCTTGTGTACCTGAGGCACTCCTGGGTTCCCACCCATTGTGAAGATACCATCATGTACGATTTTCTGGTGTATTGATAAGATCCGGAGGTAATTGCTCCTGGAGATAAACACATGGCTTACCAGTGTATACCTTCAATTGAACTGTTACGTAAGTGTAATTACCCATTATGTTTTTCCAGCCTTCTTCCTTTGTATTAACTGGACTGAGCAATTAATCCCATCATAGACTGTTTTCCATATTGCACACTGCATTCTGGGGGTCTGCATCTCCCTCCAGGGCAGACCTTTAAATGGATCCATGCTTGAAACCAACAAATAACGGCACCTTGAATTTCCTTCCATCAGGGAGACCAATCATTGAAGCCGCTATCTGCAGCTCCTGACCAA